TGTCACGTTTGTTAGGCCATTCCTGAGCAGTTTTTGTGGTGTGGCATGGTGCATTGTCCTGCTGGGGGGGCCACTGCCATCAGGGAGTGCTGTTGCCATGAGGGGTTTCCTTGGTCTGGAACAGTGTTTGGGTGGGTGGAACATGTCAAGTGGCATCCACATGAATGCCAGGACCAAAGATTTCCCAGTAGAGCATTGTATTGCAACAAGATAATGTATTTTAATCACTTCACCTGTTAGTGGTTTATATGTTGTGGCCGATCGGTGTATATGATATGTCATACCAACACAGACCTTTTTTTCCAAATATAAATATGTGCTTAAGCGGCTCTTACAATGTTTATTCATGTATTTCTTAGACCAAAAGAGAGCTTATAGACTAAAGCATACTCACCTGGGGCAAATGAAATGACACTGATGCTACTACAATCCCTAATGTTAGTAGCTGGTGATGTAGGTTTTATATGGTGTGGGAGGGATTATGATAATGATGGCTCCATTGTGTACATTACTGCTTACTGTATGCACTGGTTCCTGCTGAATGATTCTTTGCTTTTACTCTGACAGAAGAAACTATACTGTCTAAAGTGAAAGAAATCATGGATGATGTCCAAGACAAACTACCACACCAAGACAACAAGCTCCATCAGTTCCTCAAGTAAGTAGTGAGTTTTTCGTATTCCATATTCTTTGGTATATGGACCTGGTTTCACTCTGTCATGTGAGACAGTCTGCATTTTGCTTTTAAATTAGTCTTAAGCAAGTTGGACAGTTTCATAAAAACTACATACTGACTTATTTTAAGCCTAAAAAGTTCCCTCAGGTTATTTCAGAACTGAAAGTCATGTTTCCATGGTAACTGTCTGCTGACAAGTGGCATCTAATGACAAAAAAAGAAGAAAACATGGCTCATAATTTGTGGTTTGTTAACGATGTTTTGGAGTGAGTAATAAAGAAATAGTTTTTACAGACCGCAGTAAACCTGTTTGAAATATACAGCAGTGAGAGTCCTGCCACATTCTAAAACCACAGCATCTCAGCAGGTCTGTACTGCATTGAGATTTTTTTGCTCTGGAAGGCTTTTCTATTGTTACACTCTACACTATAACTGCTGAAATATTTCAGGAGGTAAATGTTCTGCAGGAGTGAAGGAAGCTGCGCAGTTTGATACGGTTGCTTGGTCTGCCACCAATCGTAGTTTTAAAAAAAATAGTCTTAATTCAGAATTATCCGGAATTCATAGCAAATTAGTCCTACTGAAGATAGCCTAGGACTATATAGCTTTGTGACATCATTAGATGTCTATCTGAAGCTTGACTGTTAGTTTGATCAAAGCCGTAGTCAAAGTCTATCTTTGTGAAACTGAACCCAGGTCTTATAGAATGTCAGTCTATCTTGAATGGTTTTCACATCACAGGCTTAATTTCTAAGCACATAAGATATGGGCACCGTCAGAAGCTACGTGGCTATCACGTTCGCTACATTTACTTGCTTGTGTGTCAGTAAGCTCTCAACAAACAAAGCCAAATGTGTTTAGAGGCCAAACTTATAAGACTGAACAGTTGTAAAATGTCTCCTGGAGAGCTGTCAGGCACTGCATCCAAGAATATGTACAGAATTGGTGGCTTTAATTCCCCTGCTAAGACAGTTTGCTATTGGTCGGTGATGCAGATTCATGTGTCAAAGTATACCAAAGCTCAGCTTAATGTAAAAACACTGAAAGGAGTAACAAACTTCACAAGCAAATCCAATAAATCATTTTTCTTGTGAATTATTATTCACTTTATAAAGTTTCAGGCTGAAAAACTGAAACCAATGAATGAAAGACGGTATAAAGCCCTGTAAAGCAGAGGGGAACCTTAAAGTCTGGTGATAACTCTGTGTGGTGTCATCTCTTGGTGACCCTGCTCACATACAAGTCGTCATTTGAACCAGTTAATATGAAAATATTGATTACAGCTGTTTGACTAGGCTGGTCATACTGTAGACGTTTTTCTATGTTGACACGGTCTTTCAGTGTTTGTTTATTTTCCAAATTGATCAATTAACTCCTGTTCAACCTCTTGTACAACAGGAAGAAAATTAAGGATTTGGAGATCGACAAGAGGGAGCTGGTCGGTGTCTTTGGTAAAACCGGGGCTGGAAAGAGCTCTCTGATAAATGCTGTCATTGGAGAGAAGAATCTCTTGCCTTCTGGGAGTGTCAGTGCATGTACCTCATTCATGATTAAAGTGGAGGCTAACATGCAGAAACAATATGAGGCAGAAATTGAGTTCATCACAAAAGAGGTAAAATTAGTTGAATATACTGTGTTTATGTTCACTTGAAGCAAACTGAAAAGTTATGATGTAGCTGCAAAAATATAGTTTCTCTTTACATCACATGATGTTTAATTAAACTGAAATAAATTCTTTTATTTTTTTTTAGGAGTGGAAAGATGAGTTGTGGTCCTTGTTAAATTTCCTTGGGGATGATGCAGATCAGGAAGATGACGAGGATCAGGACACTGTTGACAAGCTGTCAGCGCTGTATGGAGAAGAATGGACAGACAAATCCCCTGAAAACCTCATGGAGAACAAGTATTTCAAAGAAGTTCCAGAATTTCTCCAATCCAAGAGAAAGCTTTTGACATGTAAATCAGTGAGTAAGACAAAATAAATTATTGTACATATTTACATGTATCACTGTCTGACAGAGTGAAATGTTATTAATTTCTAGTTATTGAGGTTAAGTAATGCACTTACAGCCTGGCCATTTCAGATTGGTTTAGTTTAACAAATCTGTAATGAACACTGTGTTTGTGATGCACCTTTTTAAACTTTGCAAGTTTGCTCTTCAATTAGTCTTACGCAAGTTGAATAGTTTCATAAAAAAATACATACTGACTTATTTTAAGCCTAAAAAGTTAGTAACCTTTCCCTCAGGCTATTTCAGAACTGAAAGCCATGTTTCTATGGTAACTGTCTGCTGTCCAGTGGCATCGAATGACAGAAAAAAAGAGGAAAACATGGCTCATAATCTGTGGTGCAGAGTGTATAGGGGCTTAAAACAATATGATAGAAGATTATGATAGCTATTGCTTTGCTCAATTATGTCTCTTAAGTTGTTGCAGAAAAAATGTTAAAAAATCCCTCAAAATACCACATTACGACACCAAGTCCTTGATGATCATCATAGAAAAGCCTCTGCTGTGATCTGGTATCAAAAACTTTTGACATTTTAAGATTTCTGTAGAAATTGCATTTTTTTTGTGATTGAATGACGAGCACTTCTGTTCTAGAAACTGCTGAGAGCCTCTTTTATTGTCAAAACACCTATGAAAGTTATGCATCCTCTGATGCCCGCTGTCTCTAGTCAGCAGTTAATTATTCTGCAGGTCACAAAAGGTCATTTTATACAGTGCTGTCTATTGTGCTGTCTGTTTCTAAAAAATGGTCTTAGTACAACAAATTGGCAACTATGGGGGCTAACATCATCACACATTAATGAAATTGGGCTCATTGAATCCACGAGTCTCAACTTTCCAGTCATACTCAATTAATGCATTTCCAAGACTGTTTAGGGACCTGCAGAAAAAATAAAATACAACAGGTGAAAATAACATATTTGCACTGCATGCAAAAACCTGATGGCTTTTGCCCATAACTGCATTTGATAAGCTTAAATTAGGCACGTCTGTAATCCGGAGACTCATGACTACCCACAGAATGCATATTCATTCAGATATCTTGAGGTCAGAGGTCAAGGGACCCCTGTGAAAATGTCTATGCCATTTTTTCCCTCTTCAAAATTTAGCCTAACTTTGGAGTGTTATTTAGCCCCCATCCTGAGAAAGCTTTAACTCAGTCCGCTACAGCCTCTTAAAGACTGGAATGTTGGCCAAGACTGCCAGCGGCCCTGTGGGTCTCAGAGGTTAAAGAGTGTACTTGGTCCATCTGTGCTAAATAATACAAATCCAGATCAAATTTAGCCTTTTAAAGAAAATCGTAACAAACAATATCTACCAGTTACTAAATTAACTGCTTTTACGAATTCCACGTGGGATTTTGTCTCTGTCATTGTCCCCAGACAGGTCTCATGAAGATTAAATGACCAAGTGGTTACACCTTACTGATAGACAGGTTGAAAAGCTGGGTTGATCTCTCTGGTACTAATAGTAATTATTTTATCTAAATAAGATACTTAACTTCCCAGCAGGACCTGTGGAGTACCACAAGGATCAGTACTTGGCCCACTTGTATTCGGTCTATTGATGGTTCCTGTTTTTAAGTCTCTTTAAGTTAATGTCAGTTTTTGCACTTACGCTGACGAACCACAAATCTATATTTCTCTTTCACATTTTTCCATTGAACCACGGTCAGCACATTGAGCAAATCACTGGTTTGCTAAACAAAGACAGAACTGAGGGGATTGTGTTTGGTGGCCACAATGAAAGACTTATTTTTACATACCTAGACCCTGTGCCTTTAAAAACTGTAAGACAAGTAAGATTGGGTACTCCGGCTTGGATTTTAGCAGTCATGTTGAATGAATTAGTTTATCATTTGGAAAATATAGAGCTATAGAACTTATGTCTAAACATGATCTTTAAAAGCAAATATTCATGCATTATCTGAGGCACTTTCGACTATTACAAAAGCGACTAAACTGTGGTCAAATTCAGCTGAGTTTTATGAAAAACAAAACTAAAGGCATTATGCCTATATCTGCACTATCAGTTAGTCAGACAATTGATTTTAAAGTATTACCATTTAAGGGTGTCAGTGTTCGGATCTTTTTTAAATTTCAGCCCTCCGACAAGGCTCGACAGGCAGCACACAAAGTTATAACTCGTGTTTTCCTTTTTGTCTTCTTTATTTTGATAACAAAATGACCACAGAGTCAAAGTTGCCGTTCACCACACCATCGTACGCATTTGCTCACCGAGCGCTCAACCAACGGCATGTCCCGGCCAACCCCGACCGCCGAGAATGCTCCTGGGAGCTAGCCGAGTGCCGGCCGAGAGTGCTGCGCTACACTCACGCCGGAGGCTGAACGCCTATCACGCTTGTAAACAACACATTATGAGCCACCTACGGCACGTCGGGATAGCGTGNTGGCCCCTGGTGAAGTGTGTGACTGTGAGGGTGCCTAACAATGATCTTCTCCAGCATGTCACACTTGTGGATCTTCCTGGAAATGGGGACCGTAACAAGAGCAGAGACAAGATGTGGAAAGGGGTAATTTATTCACATGTAATGCTGTTTATTGTGTCTTACTCTGTTATCTGGAAACTTAACAGTGGTTTTTACAAAGCACTAATAATTGATTATTCATTATTAACTTGTTATTACGTCCCTTCAGGTTGTTGGAAGTTGCTCTACTGTGTGGATTGTGACTGAAATTAATCGAGCAGCAGCAGAGCGTGAAGCCTGGGACATCCTGAAAAGTACCTGTAGCCTCATTGGAAATGGTGGCGAGTGTCAGCGCATCCACTTTATCTGCACCAAGTCTGATGTTACTGGAGTTTGTGATGATGAGTAAGTGATTTAAGGTGCCAAAAGTAAATAGTTTAATATAACATTCTAAGAAGACATTGAGGCATATGGTGGCCAAGAGCTCAACAGGAAAATACAAGCAAATACATATAAATTGTTGCAGCACAGGTACTGGTAGCATGGGTGGGTTATAAGACAAAGGGGGCACAGATCTGCAAAAGGCCCCACTACCTCTCTTATGTATGAGCAGGACAGACTCTAAGGTGGTTTGGGCTTTTGTTGTTGTTGTTGTTATGTACAGTATCTCCTTGTAGTCAAGGACGTTTTTTTGTCATCTTCTGTGTCTGCATCCCTCTGTGGTCTGTTTGTGTCTTTGTGGTCATTTTGAGTCTTCCTGGTCAGTACGTGTTAATTTGAGTGACATTTTGCAGGTGAAGGCCAGAGGGGCCCCTGGGCCTGTGCCTGGTAGGCCCATTCAGTAATCCATCCATGACTGTTAGCATATTTTGTTGTTAGTTCAGGGGCAGGGGTTTTCAAAATCTGAAACTGTGCCTCCAAAACAAGCAAAATTGCGAAAACTGCACCCCCATAACATTCCCCATCATCATATTATGTTTACATGAAAAAAGATTTTAACCAGAGCGGTCGTGTGCATGTAAACACACTTACTGAGCACAGCTGACTTCCAGGTTTTGGTACCAAAATCATCATTGCAGGATACTCTAATGTGCTGTTTTTGTATTTTCGTGTGTTTTTATACATTTGCAGAAAATGTAGCTTAGTGTTCTCAAATAGGAAATTACTTTCGCCATTTGCTTGTCTTTGCAGTCTAAGCAACCAACATAACACTATATTTTACCAGGCCCAAAGCTTCCTAAAATTTCCAAGGAAGGAACTGATATCTAACAATGAATTTATTGGGAACTTATAGAAGCTATGTAATATATAATTTGTGGCAAATATAGGGAAATTGAGACACTGTTCAATTGAATCACTTCCAGTTAATTAGTTAATTGGATTCATATTCAAGTTTCTACATGTTTTGATCTATTTTTTTGCATATATGTTGTTGTGGCATTCTTTCACGGAAATTCCTTTAGGTCTTTAAACTTTGTTTTTTTCCCCCCAAAATGATGACTAAAAAAACTTTGTAGAAAATCACAGACTTTGTTACCTTTTCAGTATGAATGGTAGAGTTGTTGGTAACAAAAGTGTTTTATCCTGAGATGAGTGAAGACCACTGTGCAAGTTGGAATTTGGTTCAATTTCTCCAAATACTGTATGAGGTGCCACTTCATAAAAATATTTTCTTACAGTTCAGCAGATGCTGTTCGTGCTCGCATACTTCAAGACAACAAGAAAGCCAAGGACACAGTGAACAAAGAGTTCAGAAAACTCAAGGAGGTTAAGGTGAGTTGAATAGACTAACAGAAAATGTAACACAACAATTTTCTACAACTGCAAGCCTGATGTGAAATCAAACCCTTTTATCAGAAACATTTCAGTGATGAATGTTTCAAAGTCTTCACAGTGAGCTCACAAGAGTTTCTTCAGCAACAACATCTAACGCCAGAGGAAACTGGTAGGTGACGTCTCATATATGAGCACTCTGTGGATAACAGAAAATGTACAACAGCTCCAACACATGTTTTGTTTTAGTTTACATTCACCACTTTAACTAAAACAAAAATAACTAATTGAATTTTGACATTTGAATTTAAGTATGTAGTTTAAGTATGTAAGATGTAATCTGATTTTTTTTTTCACAGAAATACCCAAACTTCAGGAATTTCTGCAAGAGCTCAATGACTGTCACTCAGAGACATTAAACTATGTGTCAGGAGCTCATGGGATCCTCTCTCTGATTCAAGGGGCCAGAAGTAGAGCAGGGGTAAGATCAAGTCAGGCTGAGTGTCCATACAGTGTTTTTTTCTGAGTGGCAGCGTCTCTATTCAGTTGTTCCCAATGAGGAGAGAACGTGAAGGTGCTGCAGCATCTTTTGCGAAGCTCTCTGACTCAGAAAGGCGCTGGTGCTGTTACTGTTGCTCCCTCTCAGGCAACCAATCATATTTTAGATGGGGCAGGACTCTTCACCTTGGTAACCAAGAAAATGGAGGAAAAGCTTGTTCTGGCCGTGTCCATCTATCCCAAGCTGAGGAGGCAGGGGCCTGTTTCATAAAGTGTACTAAGAAAAGTGAGGATTTATGTCCTGAACCTAAATGAACTAAGCATGTGAGAAAGTCAATGGTAAAGTCATTGTACATTGTGTTCTTGGGTTTCAGGCTCATTACATTGAATCATTGGGCATTCTTTGGTCAGGACATTACAGCTCAATGACACTACAACTCTCAATGGGAGTCTACCTACCAAAATGAGCCATCGTCCCTGATGCTCTCTGGAATAGTTTTATTTTTTAATTTATTTATTTCTTCATTGCTATGATTTTCAAATATATATTTATATTTTATGAGGGCCTCCATATTTGAATTTTTTAATTGTATTTAAAATGTGTTTGGTAGATAAACTACACCAATCACCAGTCATTGTTTTCCAGTCGGGTCAGTGTTACAGGAACTGTGGTTATTAATCAACAACTCAGACAGTTAGCAGGCCCTGGTCCAGGTTATTTTCCCCACATAAGTTGCCATAGTAACTGAGGCTGAACTATGTTGAATTTGATTTATGGAACTGAATAAACTGAAAATGAGTCAGACTAACCGAAACCAGCCTGGCTTATTTGGTAAACTTGTTTTAATGGAATGGGCCCTTGATCAGCTGGGCACTGAATTTTGCTGGTGAGTGTTGTATTTTATCACCATACATGTTTTAAGCTTGTTGTTAGCTGTGAAGTCTGTCCACGTGCAGGGAACACTTATTTGATGAGGTGCTCCCCAGCAGCCTGCAAACACTTTTCTGACAGAGAAAAACACTTTAAGAACACAAGCCCTAATGAAACTTCTCTCATTGTCTTTGCAATTAATATGGACAGGAAATAATGTTTAAGTAAGTCAGCTTATATTAATACTTGCAAAAGACAGACTTCTGGCACGCAGATGTCAAAACACAGTTTTACAGTTCACCATACAGAAGTTTTAGTCATCAAGATTGTCGATTTACAGAATTTTTGACGTTCATAGAAGCTGCATAACAACAGTAATTAATCGAGCCCAAACTGCGCTGAATTTTTGGGGCTGATTCCTACATTGTGTTCTGTTAAAAATAAACTTTTTATATCAGTGCATACTGGACAGCATATAAGCCGATACCGATATATCTATGATAGGCTACTACTGGCAGATAAAATCATTCCGGCTCTAGTAATTAAAGGGTGGCCATTACTCTGCACAAACTGAATTTCATGAATAAATAAATAATCAATATTGTCCTCAAAGAAAACAAATCAGGTAGCAGTATAGTTTCACTGCTTTAAATACTGAATGTGTTGTATTTGATTTCAGGCTGACAGAAACACAGATGTGTGCAGAGAGCTGGAAGAAAAGATGGAGCAGGAATTTGAAAAAGTCAGACAGCCCATGCAGAAGACTTATGACACCTTTGAAAGATGCCTCACTGAGGGGGTTGCAAAATCCAAAAGTTCCTGGGAAAGGCTCTTGAAGTCGGTCCTAAAGCCTGTACGTATTTGAATCCTAATCACATCAACACAACTGATTTTGGATCACATGTGAATTTATATCTTTAACATGTTTCTGTTTTATTTATTTATTTTTATTTTTTCAGAAAATGAAGGGGAGCGCTTTTCACAGGATACTGAGGTGTGTAGTTCAGAATGGCGGCACTCACCAAAGAAAGAAAAAACCCCCAATAAACCTCAATATGAAGTTAACTTCATGCCTGACTGACAGCATTGATGAGGAATTCAAGAAGACCTTCCCGTAAGAAATGACCTCATGAAGACATAAAACCCTGTGTTGGCTAATCTTTACAAGCTATGGAGAATTAATAAATTCTGCATCATACAGTTGTACAGATTATGTAATATAATGCATTAATACAAATTATATTATCAAAACACAAACTTGTCAACACTTCCTGTATGAAACATTTCAAACTGTTAACATGTTTCAGAAATGAAGCAAAACGTGGACCATTCAACGGGATCATCAACACGTTTTCACTTGAAACAGAGAGGCTGATGAGAGAGAGGCAAGAGTACAAAGATGTCGAACTGCAACTGATATTTCTCAAGACAGAGGTAAAAGTTGACGATGGTACCGTCTTATTCATCATTCCATCATTATGCTGTTTGTCCAGGTCGGGGTGATGAAAGGTCAGTTTTAACTGTAACACACAATGTTACTTTTAATTCCTTTCCTGTATAAATAAATAAATAAATGAAATGAAATGAAAGGCATGGATGTAACAATGCTGTTTAATAGTCACCATCCTGTATAATATCTCCTGACCTACATAATGATGTGATCATTCAATGACTTGTCTAGTTTTTGCATTTTGTGTGGACCCCTGGGAGAGTAGTTGTTACTGTGGTAACAACTAATGGGGATCCTGAATAAAGAATAAAGAATCTGTATAATTCGTGGTCTCTCTAAGGAAGAAAAAATGAAGACAAAACTCAACAAAACCATCCAGGAGCAAAAGAAAATGATCTACAAGAGTCTGATGGAGACAATCGAGGACAACATGCAAGAATGCTATGAAAGTAAGATAGTAGACCATGACATGTACAACCTGACTCAATATTACTACATACCTACATTTAATGTGATTGTGCTGAAAAATTTAGTTGACATAATTTAACTGTTTTATTTTAGAAGCAGCAGAAATTAGAGGAGGAGGCTCGCTGAAAAACATGAGGAGCACTATTGAGAACCATGTACGAGATTCAAAGGACATCATATTTCAGAGGGCGAAAAACGTTATGTTGGAGCAGCTGGAAAACTTGATGGTTTGTCACATTTTATAATACCTCATATAATTAATCAAACATGTGCTGCACATCTTTATCTTTGTCCGCAATTGTCATCTTTTACATGAAGACTTTTTCAATATTCAAGTTGAAAGTCTGAAAGCTGCTTTTGCTACTAAAAGACTGCAGGGACTTTCAACATTCAACTGTTAGAAACATACAAAAGATTATGTAGTTAATACAGCTGCATTTGTATTTGCATTTGTGGTGCCTCCTGGTGGTCATTTTGAATAGAACTTTCAGGGTATGTTTCAGGTATGTACATTGACATATTTTACAAGTTTCATGATGATCAGCCCAAGTGTTGCTGAGGTTAGGTCTATTTATGTCTGAGCTACGCCCCTTTTGAAGTTCACTGGTCAGTATCTTCTAAACAATCAGATATCAGAAGATTTTGATAACTCTTGATGAACTTGGTCTGATGATGATCCACAGAAAATTTGGTACAAATCAGACCCATGGTTTAGGAGGAGATGTCAAATGTCAATTTTACACACTTGCAATTACAATAATTAAACATATCCTGCAAGTTTTGTAATAATTGGAATAAAAGCAATTTTGATTTATAGCCTGATTCATGTTATGCCACGCCCATTTTTTCTTGCATTTGTGTGCCCCCTAGTG